ACCAGGAGGGACACGGGTCCAATAAACATGTGGTTGCATTCAGCCGTCCCAAGATCCTGTCCACGTCCTCGGGAGCCACAGGATCGAACTCCTCCCTGTGCTGGGATGGCAGTGGCACGGACTCCCCATGCAGGGCTGCGGCTCCTTTTGCTGCCTCTCTGCCCCGGTTTCTGGAAGACACTCTGCCCTGGGTCCCAGAAGACTCAGCAGCAGGCAGCTGGCCTGACTGGCCTCTTCTCCGCTTCCAGCCGGGTGCTCACTGGCTTTGTCCACGTCGACATGGTGAGGCCTGGGAGACGCGAAAGTGGGAGAGGGGGACAGGCGCTCGTGCAGTTTGGTGCCTTCGGATCGCTCGCATTCCACACACACCCATGGCAGGGGAGGAGCTTGATGGAGTGAGGAGGGAGCCTCTCTCTGCCAGATTCCCATCTGTGAGTGCACAAGCCGCCCGGTGGGCACCACATGGCAAGAGGTGCCTGGTGGCTGGTCTCTTGCAAGCGGGGTCCCGAAGAGCCGGGTGCAGGGACAGGAGGACGGCAGCAGCGCAGCAGCAGCCATGAAGTGACCATGCTCGCCGCCTCCTGCACCCCCAAAATAATAAGACCTCCCCGATAATAAGGCCAAGCCCTTTTTTCGGTGTTGAAAAAAATACAACACAGGGTCTTATTTTCAGGGAAACACGGTATTACCTATCCTGCTTCTGGTCTCAGCCCCATATAGTTTCTCAGTTTTACTTCAAGAATTGAGGAATATAAACAAAGGAATATAAACAAAGGCTAGCCTGCAAAGTTTGATTTGGAATAGGAGCATGCAGAAGAATCATCTAAATTCAATCCAGGGTTCTAAGAGCCAAGTCAGGATTGTCTCTAGTCCATTGGTCAGAGATTCAAGGTTTCTTTCACAAACAGGAATATCAAACAAAAACCAGATGTTATATGTTGTTTCTAGCAATAAGAGCTTGATTCAGGGCTGTTTCTTAAATAAGGCTGTAACCAGCTATCAGTAATCAGGTTTACACCTTTTTTCGCAAGTAGCCTAATAAATCTTTGTTCTGCTCTGTTCTTTGTTCATCTGGTGTGGGAACTGGAAGGCCTTAAGTCATCCCCACCTATTTTTTCTAGCTGCTCATGGTACATGTATTTGATCTTTTTCACGTGATTCCTAGCTTTGTCCTTCCTGAAGCTAACATTCCACAGACTCATTGCAACAGCTTCTTCGAGGTCTGATTCAGACTCAGAATCTGAATTCTGAGCCATGACACTACCTTCACTAAGATACTATATTTAGAATATTGACCATACTTGTTACCATCTATCATATGGCGCATGGAATCTAATCCTGACAGGATGCGTGTCGGAACTAATCTCTACTCCCCAAAGAAATAAGGCAAGAGAAACAACAGAGGAGGGAGTGAAAAACTGGCAAGCCTGGCCCTTGGCTGTTATGGAAAACGCATACTAATACAGGACTCAAGGGCAACAAAATTCTCTACCTCAGGCACTTCTTCTGAGTACATAGGGATGGCTTAGCTAGACTAAGTGCTGGGTTGCTGCTTTTACTTTTAATTCCTGTAGGAAAAGCAGCTTTGTTATGCTTCGAAAACTTCTATGCTCTGTTCTGCTACACTCTGATGAGGAGAGAGAAACAATATGGCTTTTATTTTACTCTTGAGTTCAGGGGTGTAGACAAAGAGAAAGAGACCTTGGGAATTGTTCTGTATTTTATGCAGAGGTGGAAGGTAAGAAGAAAAACACTGAATACTTGAGGGAGGTTTTAGTGCTTTGTTTGCTTATTTGTTGCTAGTGAGAAATATTTCTTCACTGTACAGTAAATTTTCAAGGGAATTAGGACACAGAGTTTAATTTTTAGAAAGAGAATTTCATGACATGATGCAAAAAGGAACCATGGAAACCAAACTGGTGTAGAGATAGGTGTTGGATTAGGTCTTGAACAATCTAGGTTTCAAGTCCACTCAACCACAGGATAACTCAGAGTGATTGTTTTGGAATTAAAACAATAACAAAAACAATGTTATTTTTGTAAGCCATTTTGAGCTTCTGAAGAAAAGATGAATATGAACCAAATCAATAAACAAATATGTTTGGAATATGTATGCATGTATGACAGAAAGAACAGAAAAGAAATAAAGATGATTTATGTGCTCTGTAAACAATTAACCACATAGAACAAGATATGTAAGGTCATTCTAGCAAGAAAATAATAACACATTTCTAAACCAAAAAGCCAGGTCCCAATTTTAAAGTTTTCTTCCCTGGGAAGGCTTAGATTATCAGTTATAGTAGCAAAATATTATCTATTCCACATAATTTAGTATCTTCTTTGATTCCATAAAAATATCTACAAGTTCTGAATGCTTCATAAGCATTGCTTTCTAAAATTTAGCTTCAATGTGCTGGTCATAGAAACAGGTTTATAGTAATATATATATATATATATATAGAAGACCCACACAGAAGTTACCCAGTGCTCTCTCTGTCAGGATTATGCCATGGGCATCATAGGTCCATAAACCAGGAGACTAGGAATAGGCCCTCCAGTTGTCTAGAATATAATCTGAATGCATCCGTTTTGCTTTGTTCTTTGCAGACAGGTATCATACATGCCACTGTACTCTGAGCATGCTGTTGGTACTGTCCTGTTTGTAAACTATTTTCCCCACCTTGGATCAGTGAGATAAGTAAGAAATAATTGCAGAATAAAACACGACAGTATAAAGGTCTAGTGAAATAAAATAAGGGACTGTTTTCATTTCAATTAGGGGGCTATAAAGGAATCATAGTGCATTATTCTTAGTCTTATACTACAGAAGAAGATGGGAACAAAACAGAATCAACAGAGCTGCCTCTGCTTTCATTGAACACACTTTGATGGTCAGTCTTGAAAAGCAACAGCTATTACTTCACAAGAATCTTACTTTTTTCCACAAAATATTAACTCAACTAGTCCTCCAGAAACAAAAATCAGGTTTGCAGCACTTCATCTGTAGCCTGACATGATACAATCCCCAAATACCTCTTTGTATGTTATTGTAAAGGGGTGTGAATTAATCCTGAATTAAAACCATAAAAAACTCGATATGATTTCAGTATTAGAAATTGAATACTTTACATTTCTGATAGCTAAGTACAGGACTGGTGTGTGGTCCCATAAAACCACAAATGAGAAATTTGTTAAGAGTTCAGAGAAGTCAGCTCTCTATTGTAGACAATAGAGTCTACAATATTCTTTGAAAGTGGTATTCTCCCCCAAAATTATTTGAGAGAAATTATCCTTCAACAAGGCCTAATTTCTTATATTCTAACGTATTTTAATTACTCCAAGTTAGCAACAATACAAATCAAACAATCTCTAAAGCATCTTTATATCAGTTGCAGAAGGTAAATTACTATTATTTTCTATAAATAGCAATGGCTTAGTGAATGTAACTAATTCTCAACTGCTTCAAGAATTTACCAGTTCACAGCTTTTCTATGTTTTTGTAGATTCTTAAAAAGAGAAATCTATGTTTTTTTTCTACCTGTTTAGAGAATGAGTTTGTGCATACGATGTTTGGGGCAAGGGGTGCATGCATGCGTGTATATATAGACACATACACATAAGAAAACCCAGGCATCCTATTGCTTAGCCTCAAAGAGGATTTAAATCATCATGTATGCCATCTTTGCTTGAAAAACTTCATTCAAGTTTTCCTTTTGAATAGACCAAGCTTTTCCCCATGATCTGCTTTCGATTCCCAATAGAAAATATTGTATAAAAATGAAGACTTCTTGAATTCTTGCTAGCAGCATCAATGTGGCAACAGATCAGCTTGACTTGACACCATTTTATTCTGCGTAGATACCCTAGCTTTTTGCTGCTTGCTACTCATTCCAAAGGTGTCTAAGATGTGTTAACCAGACAATGCACTTTTTCAAAGATGGGAGAACCACAGAAACAAGAGCAGGAGTGATTCTCATGATACCCCATAATTGTCACTAAAAGTATTGACAACAGCTTTAGTGGGAGAAAATGGTGAAGAGAATTTGAAGGGAAAGAAAACAACATTATCCTTGCACTACTTAGGAATGTTGTGCACAATGTAGAAGAATAATTTTACATGAAATAATACTGCAGGGAAACTACAGAGGAAGGCTTTATCCCTTCGCATCCACTTGGGACAACTGCCCTGTCAAGGAAAATTTATAGATAATGAAAGATTTAAAAGTAGGAATGCAGCAAACTTTGTTTAATTTTTAAGTTCCCAGTTTAATTGGAAGAACGAATAGGGGCAACTTATATTCATAAATTGTTCATAAATGTGGTTTTATGGGTGCCCAGTATGTAACTTCTCGGACTAGAAACTAATTAATAGGATGCCTGTCACTATTTCTCACTGAGAACTGAACATTATCTTCTGGTTCGGTGCATTCAGATGTAAAAGACTAACACATAGGAAGGAGAAATACCACAGCTATCATTGCATCTTTCTTCACATGGTTCATTTGCTGTGGGCTTTTAGATTTCATAGTAATGAAGATGAAAGATTGATTGGCTCACTGCTGACCTACTTTGAAGAAATGAAAGAGCAGGTGGCTGATTTTTAGCTGACTGAAAACAAAAAGTGGTAGAAAAAGGCATAGTGATAAATGTTCTGAAGTCTGCTTTTGCATATAAAATCATTTTGAGAAAGAATCATTTATATATGGTACATCTAAAATAATGCCCTTTTGTTATAGTTGCATTTATTTGCTTAATTGCACAATCAGTTTTTTCCTGCTTTTAATAAACATATTAGTTAATCAGTCTATAATGCACCATTCATAGATAAAGCTTAATGTTTTAAATACTTATCTGCAAAATTCGTTTTAATTGAAATATTTTTAATCTCTGCCTGTAAAAAAGTAAATCTTTGTCTAAATTTAACATTGACATGTTCTTGGCTATCCATTTTTATGTATTATAGTCCATTACAATAAAATTGCCAATTAAGATTATCTTACCTTATTGGTTGCTTGAAAACAAGATATTTATTTCTCTGTTCAAAAATGCAGTTTATCCTGGACTTGAGAACTAAAGTCTGGGGCCCTGAAAATAACGATTCAAGAAGAAGCAACAAAGGATATAGAAGGACTCCATTGTTATTGCTAGTTGCCTAACATCTTTTTAAGAATATTTTTTACCTGACAATAAACACATATTGTGATGGGTGCTTGTTTTATGATTTTTATTTTAGAAAACTGAACTTTATGTTTTGGTTTTAGGACTATACTAGCCACCACATTTGTTACTCTACTCATTGTAGTTCTTTAAACTAAAATCTGAAATGTTGCATGTGCTTCAAAATATGAGGAGAAATTTGACTGTGTACTTCCTAGACAAAAAAGTACATAAAAAGTACACATTATTACGTTGAAAGACCAATTAATGCATCAGTTAAAATTGTATAATTTACCGGCACACCTACTCAGATTATATAAAATAGATCTCTTGCCTCACTAGAAAAAATTTCCCCTTAACATTTTGAGCAAAAAGGCCTGTTCTAGCCTGCCTTCCTTTTGTCCTGGTTAAATGGCAGAAATTTGGGGTTAGTAGGTTCAAGTATCTTCAAAGACCTTACTTTATTTTCTGCCCATCAACTTGCAAGGCATAGTTTCCAAAGACCTGAATTTGGTTTATATTTTTTATGTTACCAAACAGTTCAAATTCAGAAATTAGGGTTTGCTTCCTCCTAAAAGTATTGTGAGAGAAAGGACACATTTTCCACCAACTACTTGGGGGAAATGTCATATGTTTGGATGCTTTATGTAAACTGCTCCAAACCAAGAAGAAATTAGCTTAGGAATTTGTTCCTAACACTTTCTAAATTAATTCCATACAACATACATAATTTTCCAAAGTAGGTAATAATTTTGCTTCCTCAAATCATCTCCCAGGAAACCCCAGGAAACATGAAAATGTTTCAGTAAAAATTGAGTCCTACCAGAGCAACTAAAGCATTTGTTTTGTTGCTTCCATCCATGTCAATCTTTCAGAAAACCTGTTAGAAATATTATGTGCAGTATTGAAGCTATCATTAGAAAAAAAATTTTGATTTTGCTGCACAAGTTCTAATGGAAACTTGATTAATTTTAATATAACTATAAAAACTCAAAAATGAAATCAGAGTCCCATTGAACTTGTCCCATAGCATTTTAAGTGACCTACCTCAGTCTGATGTCATTCAACAGTAATCTAACTGTTGCCATTCCCTTGCCCCATGAAGACCCCTTTTTCTGTCTAGCACTTCATCAGTACTGCCCAGCAGTGCTTTCCCAAGTGTTTAGGGGGCTTTGGGTATTTGGCCAAGTTGAACATCATAAAGCTCATTGTGACTTAGTAGCTCATTGTCATATATTGGCCAGACACTTTGAAAGTAAAATAAAACAAACTTGTCACAGTTTATGTTTTACAATTTTGGAAGATCAATCTGTCAAAATGCCAAAGATTGATGGGGGGGAGGGGTTTTTTTAATTTCTTAAATGTTTTATGATGCAGGTAAATTTTAGCAAACATATCTTTAGTTGCTCCTTACCTCTCATGTTTATTCTACCTAGTAAGAAAGGAAGTTTATGGTATAAACTCTTGTTATCAGGGTCTTTTTCTTTATTATCTATTTTTTTTCTGACGTTTTGTTCTGGTGGTCTTTTCTGCTTTAGAAATTCTTCAAATCTTTAAGGTAATATAACTGGGTAGAACATGTGTAAGATTTGAGATCATCATAGTGTTCAACTGGATCCAAAAGATTATAATAATCCCTCATTTCAAGAAACGGTCCCAGCCTAATTACAGAAAGAAATATTGAGGCTATATTTGGGGGGGGCGGGGGAGTGATTGGAACAAGAAAGTCTAAATAGTTTTAGGCTGGTAACCAATATCATGTTTCTGAGTAAGGGGCATTAGTGGGCTGTAGATTATCAGATCCAATCACTCTTGGGGGAAACAGATTTTCCAAATCCATTTCAACTGGTGTAGGCCTGGTTTTATCACTGAAACTGCATTGATCATCCACTTGACCTATGCCAGGAGTTGGATCCTGTAGATTTTCCTGGATGGTTCAATGAGTTTAGTAATATTGACCATGGTTTCTTTCCAGATATGTTATACAAATTAGACCTATGTGGAACATCCTTCAGACAGATTCACTCATACCTGGATGGCAGTTTTCAGATGTGAGGGATTTGTTTTATTCCATGATGTGCCCTGTAGGGCTCCACAAGGATCAATTCTATATCTCTTTGTTGTTCAGTATCTATATGCAACCACTGAAATCATTCTAAGATTTAAAATAAAGCTGTATGGCTTCTTTTATCAGGTTCAGTGTGACTGAATCAGTGTCTAACTACAAATTTGGTCTGGATGAGAACCAATAAACAAGCTCAGTCCAGACAACTCAGAGCTTCTGTTCATAAAAGGTTTATCTAGTCAGATGAGTGAAATTCAGTTTGTTCTAATAGGTTGCACTCCCTGTAAGGACTGAGTTAGTACTTTGAAACTGCTTTTGGATCCTTGTCACTACAGGCACAAGTAGCCTCTCTGGTATGAAGCAACTTCCTATTTAGACAGATATCCTTGCTACAGTAATCTATGTCCCGATAACTTCTCATTTAGATCACTGAAATGCAATGCATTATTTGCTGAGCTACTTTCATACAGCTGAATTATGTAAGTATATGAAGTTTGGAAACTTCACTTAGCACAATATGTTACAGCCAAAATACTTACTGGGACTGGTGATATGACTGTATCACGTTAGTTGTTTAAGATTTTAACAGTTCCCAATTAATTTCCAGCTCTAGTTCAAAGTGTTGATTTTAATTTATAAAATTCTCACAACTTGAGACCACAAAATCTGAAGGAATATGTATCAGGTCATCTTTGAACTGCCTACTCCAGATGCCTTCGCATGCTGTGATGCAATGTGTGGCTACCCAAGAATAGGCCTTTTCAGTAGTCCCCATCTTGGAATGCCCACTCCAGTCAGTTATGCCTTTATTATCCTTTTGGTGGCAGACAAAGGCATTTTTATCTTTCCCTAATATGTCAGTCCTTTTATGATATTTATGTTCTGTTATTTTTTAAATGTTTATTGTAGTGATTTTATGTTGTATATCTGCTGTTTTTATAAAATGTCATCCATTTTAATTGATTATTTTAATATGTTGTTTAACTTTTACTGTAAACCACTTTAAAATTTATTTAAAAGTGTTGACATATGCTAAATAAATAGCATAAAGGATTCTTGATTTGGCTCTAAATTTGGGGGCATAAAGCATAAACATAACCCTTTTGTAGAACGCTTTCTTCCTTTGAAAGAGGTGGATCATGGGTAAACAATCTACAGCAGAAATGATGAAGATGAGACAAGAAGGAACAGTTTCTTAAACAACTGGACTCTTTATCCTCTTTATTTATCCTCAGACTGCTTCAGAGGATTAGAGCTGATTACTAAACTAGAAGGGACTACATGTATAAAGCAATAGGCAAAGAAATAGCTCATATTTTGGGCTTGACTTAGCACACTATTTCCAAATCTTGTTCATAAAGGAGCTGTTTTCTAGTAGAAAAACTGATTTTGCCACCATGCTTACCTATTCCCTCTGTAGAGGCAATTTAGACATTTTGCATATATGAAACAAAATTTCAAACTGGTTTTTCTTGGATTACCTGATGCATATAAAATACTCACGACACATAGACGAACATCTATAGACATTCACATTTTTCATGGAAGGATAGATTTTTGTAATAGTATTCAATCATGTGGCTCCCACTCTTCCTCCTCCCATGAATATTGTCTTATGTTATTTTTCTTAATCTGTAGGTCAGTCCTTAGATTGTTTAGCCATGGATTAGACTGAGTTGAGTCATTTACAAGAAGTGTTTTACCTGAATAATTGTATCATGCCTCAACTACTAGACCTCTCTGGACTATTGGGCTTTACTGTAAAATAAGATGAATAGTTGATATGTGTTAATGTTAACTCACAGATTCATCCATTTGCATATGTGTAGCCCAATACAGCACAACAAGGTTCAGTTGCATGCTACTGATGATAATCATCATAGTCCATCTATATTAATTATAGTTCTTTTAATGAAAGCACTATGTCAGATAAGGCAAACCCTTTAATTTTATGATTGGCTGAACAGAATTAGTGGGAAACAGCACTTTATTTCTTTAAAAAAATCCTTACATATTTCTGAAGTTATTTTTTCAAATTATAGCAGAGCTATGTATGGGATTGAAGGCACACATCTTTGTTATCTGAATTTCTGATGAAGTTTGTGTCATATTTATGAGGCATAAGCAAGACTATAGAATTTTATCATTAGTGTATGAGGTTTGTTAGCAACTGAATTAGAATGATGAGGCAAGTCTCTGAGTGACATGTTAAAATGCACTGGCATTTCTTTAAGGTCAGAAACCTTTCCAAACAGAGAGCTCTTAAAAATAAATGTTTTGAAGCTAATTTAGTGAGCCAATGATGTCACAATTCTGTCATTAGATTTGAAATGTTTCACTATAGTTTCAAAACGGTTTACATAAATTTTAGTGCCTGCTTAATTTAGCCATTAATCCATTCAGTATTAAACACCGATAGTTCTTGATTTAAATAAGAGAAGTGACAAACCTTGACTTAAATGGGATTTATTATGCTTTTAATTAGATCATGTGTGTTCTTCCTTGACATCTTTTCCAAATCCAAAGTGCTGATTTTTAAAATCTGGAAACAACTAAAATTCTTAACTGAGAGAAAACACTGGGAATCAATAGTTCATATTAGTATAGAATTATCTCTATTTAAGCATAGATATTTAGTGCTCTACTGAGCCTGCTTGTGCATTATTTACATTAAAATTGTCATCAGAAAAACTGATTTTTAGAGGCATGAGAATAATTTATTATTTTTAAACAGGAACATTAAGTTGTCAGAAAGCTATGATTTCTATTCCATTATAACAGCATCTGTATTAAAAATGTTCATTGTACTACAAATCTTATTGTTCTCACCTGCCAAAGAAGCAGATATTCAGCCTTTTTTATTCTGTACCTTTGTTTCTTCTAGCTGGTATTACTTTAGGCCATATTTGATGGGATGGGATGGGATAACTGAATTGGAAAGGACCTTGGAGATCTTTTAGTCCAACCCCCTACTCAAGTATACCACTGGTGTCAAACTTGATCGTGTCACATGATGTAACGAGATGTAGCACAACTGTTTTTGCCTTTGCAGAGCTGTGGTGGGTGTGGCCTACACATGACGCATCTGGCCCGTAGGCCACCTCCTGCCCTCTACCATTTCAAACAAATAGCTACCCAATCTCAGTGATCTTCAGTGATAAAGCCTTCAGAGTTTCTGAAAGCAAGTAATTCCTGTGATTAATCTTTCAGGAAATTTCTCCTTATTTCTAGAAGAAATTGCTTCTTGTCCTGCCTTCAGGTACTTTGGAGAATAGGTTGATGTCCTCTTCTTTATAGCAGCCCCTTAGATATTGGAACACTGCTGTTGTGTCACCCCTAGCCTTTCAGTAGACTAGATATTCCCAATTCCTGCCATTGTTCTTTGTATGTTTTAGCCTCCATTTTCCTAATCATCTTTGTTGCTCTTCTCTGCATTCTGCACTCTAGAAAGTTTCAACATCTTTTTTTTTATATTGTGGTGACCAAAACTGGATGCAGTAGTCCAAGTGTGGTCTTACCAAAGCATTATAAAGCAGACCTAACACTTCACGTGATCTTGATTCTATCCCTCTGTTAATGCAGTCTAGGACTGTGTTCTGCTTCTTTTTTCTTTCAAAATTAAATCATGGGAAAATTTCAACTAGTGAAAGATTGACACTGGAAAGGTTGTTATCTACATGCTATATAAGATCCTCTGAGTTGACAAGAGGGTGATATTGCTGACAGTTAATAAAGGTAATTAAGAGTGAGAACATAAGCAGGCAATGAAAATATTCAGGTGACAATTGTTACAAGTGCCAAGAAATCACCCAGATAAGACTTTTCATCAGTATTTAATTGATTAGAAAAGCAGATAATCGTTTGACCGCCCCATGTCATTTTATAGTACTCTATATTTAGAAGCACAGAACTAGTATAACTGCTAGAGCATTAGAGGTACTTATTCCAAATATATTTGGGTGTAGGTGAGCATATTTATTACATTTGTAGAATATCTGATAACATAATTTCCTCAATGGTATTTTAAAGGATATAAATATAAATAGAATATATATTGACATCATGATAGTTT